TTTTGAAACACAAAATAAGCATCGCAATGTTTTTCGATCTGCATAAATTAAAATCGAGTCAACATTCCCGTAGGCAGTTATGTTAGAATTGGCAGCGCTTTGCATCTGTATTCTGAGCGCTCTTTGATATCGGGCAGAAGCGCGGGCGCGCGGCGGGAGGCGCGTTGTCTCGCTCTAATGCTCAAGGTCGTTCGGCCATGTAATCGCCTTAAGCTCGCCTGTTGTACCACTATTTTTATGTGTGCAATAAAGATTTTAAATAAATAAATAAATAAATGTGTTAAGGTTGATGTGCTGCGTCCGACTTGGCGCACTTTTAACTTGTGCTTCGCCGGATTGAATTTTTAAGTCTTGTATTTTTTCTTCCGGCAACTTGGCCCCACCTTCGATGTTTTTATTAATAAATTAAACACCAAATCAACAAAAATCTACTTTAGAATCTTGGAGTGGCCTAGTTGCCGAAAGAAAAAATATTTAAAAATTCGACCCGGCGAATTTACCCGTGGGCCTAGCTAAAAATGGAACAAGTCGCTGGAAGACTCGTCCGTGCCTGGGAAACTTTATTTTTATCTATACTAGACTAATACAACGCCTTAGAAACCGCAACCAACGTTGGAAGATGTGTACCGGCCAAACGTTGCCCGGTTGGACGATGACGAACACTACCAGTCGCAACACAGTTTTTACTTAGCGGCGGGTAGGGGACTGAATCTGATACATTTTGCCACCCTCATTATTGCTTATTCAATAGTACTTTTTACTGTTAATATAATTTATGTAAAACTATGTGTAAACAAACAATGTACACTTACTGATAAGTTATGTTTTTGTTGATTAGTTAGTAAGAATAATGGATGGCTCAATAAAAATATTTTTGATTTTGATTTTGAAATATTTTTAGATGCCGGCCAAGTTATACAAATTGAATGCAAGCCCACCAGCCCGCGCAGCTATGATGGCGTGCGAAATTTTCAAAGTACCGGTGGAGATGGTCAACGTAGATTTTGTGAAGGGAGAGACTCTCACACCGGAGTATTTGAAGGTAAATACTCCTTTTTGTACACGTAATAATAAAACAAGAGTAATTATAAGGATTCCAAAATGATATCACACTTGGTAAAATCTTGCTGTAATTGTCGACAAATTTTGTTAATTGGAAATAATCCCGTTTATAACTTTATCTACCTTGGTTAAAAATTATTATTCTAATGTGCCCAAAATTCAAGTTTCTAGCTTAAGTGAGGTGGAAAAGCCATTTTAAAAGGTATGAGCGGAACGGAGATAGGGTTTCCAGGTGTCCGGCTTTAACCGGACATGTTTGACTTTTTTTACGGTCTTGTCCGGCCTGTCCGGCTTTTTTCCGTATACGTTCTCTGTCCTTAACTAAGTGATGTTCATCGTAATAAATGTTTCTTTCTTTCTTTCTGATGCGTGCGCCTGACGCCTAACAATAAAAGGCGGACAGGCCGGACAAGACCGTAAAAAAAAGCCAAACATGTCCTGTTCAAGCCGAATCCTTGGAATCCTTATAAAATGCGCCAAATTTTGACGTTACTTGCTAAATTCGCATAGTACAATTTTTTTCAGTACAGTCAGTATAAACTAGGTAAAACTTTAAATTTGAAAATTTTTTTTTGAAAAAATGTATTTTTTTCAACCAAGCTGCAGCAGCTGGTCTTATAATTTGATAACAATTTAGAGAAGCATTATTCAGGGTTACATAACAAAAAAAAAATTTGGAAAAGTGAAGATTAATTGTGGCAAAAGGAGTAAAAAGACCGTCACCGGGAGTAGATTTTTTTTTTAAATGCCTAATATATTGAAAATATGCCAGATAGATTTTTTTTTATATTTTTCTGATAACCAGCACAACTTGCCTCAACACCCAGTTTCGGCTTGACGTTGATTTACGGGACACCCTGTATATGCCATCATTTTTATCAGTCGATTGGTTATGTAATATTATCAGCTTTTTTTTCTGTTTCTGGTAGGTATCAATTTAAATTATCTTGTCTGTTTTAGATGAACCCTCTCCACACAATTCCCGTGTTTGCTGATGGGGATCTTGTAATTCATAATAGGTAACATTATCATCTGATAATCTAATTATGCAATATAATGTTCGATAAATTCATTCGTTCGTTCGTTCGTTTGACGTCCACTGCTGGACGAAAGCTTCCCCCAAGGTTTTCCACAATGAATGGGCCTGCGCTGCCCGCATCCAGGCTCTTCCCGCGACCTTTATTTACCAGTAGGCCTAGGATGCGCGCCGCGATAAGCAGTTATCACGCCATTTTATCGATTTTGCTTATACATTTTGACGTCGATAAAGTATATTACGGTGCGCATCTTAGCCGTCGGTTGATAAATTACTACTACTTTATTTTTACCGTTCTGAGTTCTGGATAGAGACATCAGGTACCTACATAAAGTAACAGGCAACCTGTAGCCTTTATTTCTTAGTTGTAGAGCATCTGAAACTTTATTAAGAACAGGTATCGTCTCGCATAAAGATGTATGGAAGAATACCGGTGTAATCAAACAACTTTAACAGATATCTAAAACCTTTAAACAGGTAACTTGCTTAGTACGTTTTTAAAAGTTTTTTTTTTCAGCCACGCCATATTGATCTACCTGGCAGAAGTATATGGCAAAGATTCTTCTTTTTATCCTAAAGATGTCAAGCAACGAGCACTCATCAACCAAAAATTGTTCTTCGATGATGGTGTTTTGTTTGCGAAGTTGCGCAACATTACGGTAAGTTTTTTGCAACTTATCATTATTTTATATATTTTGATGCAAAATATATTTTATGATAACTACATAAGAAGCTACAGTGTTTAGGTTGAAGTGACATAAACCTGACAGGCTAGAATGCGCACTTTGATAAAATCTTATCGACGTTTTTAGTCGATAAATATCTATCGAATTTAATTGCTACCTCTAAAAGTTTATCGTGGCGTGTATCCTAAGCCTAAGGGAATTTCAAATTATCAAATTATTTTCGAATTTCCAAATTATTTTTGCCGTTGACTGTACCAATATAAACAGCCTTTAAGGCTTCCACAGACCAAACGCGGGGCAGTAGCAGCGCAGTTTGAATGCGGGCCCGCGCAAGTTGTAATACAAGAAACTCTTTGAAGTATGTCACACCAAATTTTAACGCGGGCCCTCGCTCCTACCGCGCCGCACTGCAACTGCCGAAATACAAACGAGGCGGCGCAGGTGCGGGACAGAAGCGGCGCGAACGCGGGCCCGCGCTGTTGTAGGGTAGATCCGCCGATTTGATTCCGCGAGATTTATTTTACGTTTTTTGAAAAACTTTACAGGAATGCCTGCAAACTAGCTTAAACTGAAAGGTTAAGCAATGAGCTTTTTAGATCAGTGTGAGGCCCTTAGATTCAATCGTTATTTTAGAAGTAACAAGCGTCCAAATATTTTTTCACAAAATGGTAATGACGTTTTCCCAATGGTAATGATTTTATTAAAATGGTAATGATCTTATGTTAATGGTGATGACGAAATATAATTTTATAGTAATACATTAAATTAAAATAACTTGAAAACTAAAATTTAGATATAATTGTTCAGCTAAACACCAATTTTATCTATGTTATTTTCCTAGCTAAGCACGTACCTATTAAAGAATGGGTTGGAAATAAAAGTAAATGTATTCAATAATTTAATGAATTTATTGAATTTGGAACAATACGGACATTAGTTAAAATTTTTTTACGTTCCTAATATTATTCAGAATCAGAAAAAATATATATTTACACCAATGAGGATTTTGATTGAAAAATATGCCAAGCTACTCTTACTTAGACTTACACAATAGTCAACATACAAGAAATGAATAAAAAAACGTCTTTTCGTAAACTAATAAAAAACCTTCTCATTTAAAAACAAAGCTTAAAGAACAATGGGACAAAACGTCCCCAGAACTGTAGCACTTTAATACCTACCTTATATGATAGACCATGCTAATACCCGACCGATCTCNCAACGGCAAAGGTCAGTACTTTTACTGTGATGGTAATGACGTTTAGTGCGTGTTTTCTTGATTATCGAAATAACTTGAAGTATTTAATCAATATGGATCATGGCGCCTTATGTGGAAACTTGTATGAATCGTTATTCAGAAGTTTAATTTACCAGAACTACAACAGTTTTTTTTTTATCGATCGGAACATAAGTTTTTTACTGTTTCGCGGATTTACCCTGTATTACTATGGCGGCCATATTATATTAGCATGACACACCGGACGCAGGGCGGTAGCAGCGCGTTGAAAGCGGTTTTCGAATATTTAAATTTTTGACAACCGCCCGCGTTGCAACTGCTTTGAAACTGCGCTGCTTTCAGTGTGCCTCAGCCGCACTGCAACTGACCCGCCCTGCTTCTGACCCGCGTTTGGTCTGTGGAAGCCTCTACTTTATTTGTGACCACAAAACTGATTTTTAAATCTAATATTTCATATTTTTAATTGTAAATTTTTTTTTTCAGTACCCAGCATTTGCGCTCGGTCAAAGAGGACTGACGGAGCAGCAGCTTAAGGATTTGGAAGAATGCTATGAATTCTTGGAAGAAATATTGTCCCGACAGAAGTATATAGCTTTGGACCACATAACTATTGCCGATGTGGCCGCTTACGCGACAGTTTTTGTGTTAGATTACATACTTCCTTTAAACGCTAAGTGAGTATACTTACCGATTCTTACGCCCGTATTCAGAAACATTACTATGAGCTCTTATAGTGCGCGTGGATGCACAGGGTGACACAGGAACCAATCACAGAGCTCTATTCAACGCTATGCGTTCGATTTTCTGCTTCACTTAAGTAAGCATCGTTTGTGAATACGGGCGTAATTTCTTTAGCAAAGATATTTGTTTGCAACGGAAAACAGAATATTATGTGAAGATTGTGAAGTGATCTAAAGTACAGAATACTATAAGTATTCAAGTCTTAAGTATATCGATCCTGTCCGTTTTTCTTATATTGGCCTATATTTTCAGGTACTCCAAACTATCAGCTTGGCTAAAAGAAATGGATAAACAACCTTACGCTGTTAAACATAAGGCAGAGGGTCTAAACATGCTTGCTACTTATATTAATTCTCCTGTTAATTCCAAGTAATACGCATCCTTAACAACGAATGCTAACTAATTACATGACAGAACTAATAAAACATTTTACTTTTTTTCATTTGTTTTAATTTCTATACCTTATAATTACTTATTCCAAAATTGTAATATGTCTGAACTGTAAAAACAGTTGTTGTGTTATAGCTGTAGCGGTTAATTGAGTCGGTGCTTGAGGCATGGGAGTTTTAGCCTATGCGCAGACATCGATTTTTCGTCGGCCGATAGTTTAGTCGAGCAGTTGATCAGTATGGGCATGTATGGAAGTGCGCACATTACACCGATTTGATTTAGCCGATTCTTCATACAAATGAAAATCGGGCCCAACTAAGTATCGGTGATGACATCACTTCGCGCATTGCCAAGGCCAGAGCTACCTTCGCACAACTTCGCCCCATATGGCAGTCACGGAAATTGACCCGAAGGGTCAAGATCAAAATATTCGGGTCTAACGTTAAATCCGTTCTGCTCTATGGGTGTGAAACGTGGAAGGTCACCAAGGTTATCTCGCACCAGCTGCAGGTCTTCATCAACCGCTGCCTTCGCCGAATTCTCGGCATATACTGGCCCGAGAAAATCTCCAACGTCGAGCTATTGGAACGCTGCCACGAAATTCCGATCGACCAGCAGATCAAGCGCCGCAAGTGGAACTGGATTGGCCACACTCTCCGAAGGGACCCCGATCACATCCCTAAGCAGGCTCTGGATTGGAATCCCCAAGGAAAACGCAAACGTGGTCGACCCAGGCAAACTTGGCGGCGCACTGTAGCGGACGAGGTGAAGAAGATCGGCAAGACCTGGAGCGAGATCAAGCGAGAAGCTCAAGACCGAACGAGATGGAGGACTGTTGTGGACGCCCTCTGCCCCATCTAGGGGACATAGGACCGAAAGTCAAGTAAGTATCGGTGGTCTGCACCTAGTCTTATTGTTACGTCAAACGTCAGTGAGACTTCAGAGTGCTTCAGATGTGATGCTCTCTTACGTCCTTATGTCAAAATCACCCTCCCGTGCCGCTCCCATACCTCAGGCACTGTCTCAGTTAAGCGCTAGATCTATAGGTATTTATTGTAAATCTGTAGAGAGATCAATTCTGTACATGAAATATATTTTCAAAATAACTATCAGGGGGTGATTAATGATCGATACTGATGCCAAAAATGCAATCAGTAATATTTTTGTCTGTCTGTCTGTCTGTATGTTCCTTATAGAAACAAAAACCACTCGACGGATCTTAACGAAACTTGGTACAATTATTCTTCATACTCCTGGTCAGGTTATAGTATACTTAGGAATTCCCTCAGGAACGGGAATTAGCGGGAAAATCCTTTTGTATGAAAAATCTAAACCGCTTGAGTTAGACGCTTGAAATTTGGCATGCAGGTACCTTAGTAAACTTAAAGCTTAGTTACAACAGGATATTGCAAAATTCTCACGGGAACGGGAGTTAGCGGGAAAAATCATTTGAAATGAGAAAGAGAAAATGAGAAGGAACTTAGATGTCTACAAACATATTTTTTTTGTTATATTCAGTAGCTAAACAACACTTCTGTATAGTACTCGAGTACTAATACTCTAGTGTGTCCGAGTTAACCAAAAGGATTCGTTCTTTAACGATTTATTTCATGTTTTCCCCTCGCTTTGGTAGAGACCATATTATATTGGTATTGGTAATGTTTTCATTCGAATACTAAACACCAATGATATGCTCGAGTAATCATACTAATACTCGAGTATGTGTACGAGTAATCTGATTCGATTCTTTCTTTACCAGCCCTTCACTAGGCTCATGTCAGCTCTCACTGACACTGGAGAGCTTGATATTCCGAACAAATCGTGTTGCGCTCTGACCATGATGTATGCCGGTACAAATTGGATTTATTTCCCGCTTCCCCTCGCATTGGTGGAGAACAGAAACTGTTATTGCACGTATGAACGATGAGGTGTCATGAATAAAATATTTTGAACGAACGCGTCACGCACCCGAAGGCTCCAGAGATTTCAATGCACAGATATAGGATACAGCGAGGCATTGTCAACGATATATGATTAATGTGCCGATGTCAAATATCACGGGAATTCCTCACGGGAATCCCCTATGGAAAATTCATGCCAGAAAATGTGGGAAAATATTCCATACGCCTCTAATTCAATAATAGTTTTTTTATCTGATTTCGTATTTTGATTGAAAAAACATGATTGTGTTTTTATCAAGTTGAATAAGTACTTTAACTATGATTACAGCGTGAGATACATAATTATGTGAATCAGTAGGTATAACTAAAGTTCAAATGATTAGTCAAATTATTATTATGTTATAGAGGTAATAGAGGACCGAGTATAGGTACTTGCATAAACCTGATTTGTCATTCATATTTATGTATGAACGTAATGTAAGGGTATGTATGTAGGACGTAGGTACATGCCAACGAATATTATGCAGTAAAGGTTCTGAATATTCTTAAAAGTAATTTCTTGCAATTTGTGTTGTGATAGTTTTGTTACTAAATATTTTATAAGTAAAACTAAACTAAAATTAATAATGTGAAACAATTAGGCAATAATCATCAAATTAATAATGTCAATGGCAGAACACTAAAAATAATGTAACACTGTTTTCCACGCGCAGTTCCCTTTGTTGGACTGTCCGTAATAACACTAAATTTAGATTACACCATTCACGGAAAATAACTGACGTAGAAATTAAATTAAAATACCAATGCGAAATCATTATACGTGAATTCTACGGATGAAATTGAGCAATCAATAAGCAATTTCAACTCGTTATGGATGATAAGCCATTGTGTTTATGTAAGTATGGTATACTTAGCGACAACTAATGCATAAATAAAGAGGCCAAGAAAACTGAAAATCCTTACTAAGTAATTTTGTCTGTAATTCTATCTTTTACGCCTCTGGCAACTAAAGTAATTAAAACATTGTCTATTTCGTCAAATTGTCAATTCTTGTTTCGGTTTAAGGACAGTTTTATCAACAACTAGTTTTGGCACAAAACCTACCAACTCCTACGTTATTCTAAAGCTTCTTTTTTACCTGAAAAAATTAAGTAGTTCGTGTTGGATGTCACTAAATCTCAAATGACAATCTCGCGTGATCCCCCTGATACAAAGATAAGTGAATTCTCCTACAAGACTTATTGCGCACTATTTGAAATCAAGGCTAATATTTTTGCAGACCTGAACAGCTAAGAAAAAGTCGCTAATAGCAATGTCTTACCGTAAACCAATACAAGAATGAATGGTTCCCATTTTTGCATGCAAATGGCATTTCGTGGATTTATGGTTCATTGCGAAACGACTCATTCCTATTTAGCTTTCTGTTTTATTTGAATATTACCGTAATATCTATTTTTGTTGTTTTTCCATTGGCTTCGACGGCACACGATTTTCCACCCTCCAGCGATTGCCTAAAGCTTAATCCGTAATGACAACACACGTTCGCATTCGAGCATTGTCTTTGGGGACATATATTTCAATAACCTCGGTGCGGTATCGCGTATAAATCGTTCTTTTAGACGTTTGACAATAATTTACTTCAGTAATTTGCATCCGGTAAATTATGAGGCTACAGTAAACAGTAATTGACTAGCCGGATTGCGGTCGGATCGATTTTTTATAAGCATTAACGGTAACCATTACCGGCGTGGCTAATCACTTTTCAGCTTGGGTATTTTTGCCTTGATATCGGTCGGCGGTAACGACAAAACCGTGCTCTGACCGGAGTTAATAATTGATGGTGGTGGCGCACGTAAAATGCCACTTTTTTATCCCATTTAAAAATTAACCTATTTTTGTGGTACAGTTTCAGGTGACGTGACGTGGTACGTACCCACGGCTGGTGACGCACGTACATTAGGTCGATCCTGGCGACTTGTATAAATAATGCCACGGCCTGTGGGGTTACTCCGAGGAATGTTGTTTGAAGTTTCGAATGTTGCCATCCCTCTCACGCAAAGAGACATGCCTTCATGAGCGACGGTGACAGAAAAACCCGAAACTACGTTAGCAGCGTTTCGGGATAGCCCTGCTGACCTCGCAGCCGGCAGTCCCAAGTTGCTGACCACACAAATTGTATCCATTTGTTGGTACTTAACTTAGGCGTCGGGCATATGTGAAGCCTAAATCTTTTTTAGGCCCTTTTAAATCCCTTTTTTATTTAACATTGTGCTCGTGAACTAAAGGTCAGAGCTTTATTTTAAAAATTATTTAGCTCGCCGCTTAGTTATTTTACTAAACATGTAAATTATATCATTGAGTTTCCGTATTATAGTACAATTACTCCTCATTGATTAACACGTGCTGTACCTGAATTTTTTTTATCCTATCATTCAGGAAATAAATACTACATAGTAAAAAAGTGAAAAAAATTATTTCGCTATGTAACCTTTTTAACCTACAAGGGTACTTTCAATTCCTTTTAGTCTTATCCCAAACTGACCTGTTATTTTATCCAAAAGCAATTTTGTACCAACTCTGGGCGTAGTCCAAAACTATGTCTTAACTCCGCATTCACACACTGCGGAAGTCCAATTACTTGGCTGCATATAAGCCAAACAGTGTAATGGTGCCTACGTCCATTATCGCGGCCCGAATTGTTTCCTTAGAGCCGGATGAACTATCAAGTTATCTGTGTAATGAACCACGAACGTTCAGGTAATGAACTAATTAATCGCGGCCAAGTAGCTGACAAAGGGACCGTGACTGATGCATCACACACTTGCCGCAGTGATGGGTCTGTTGTCGTTAACCAAAATTTGGTGTGTAATGGCAGATTACATTATAAAGGTCCGTGTAAGTAGTGACGGCTTTTTTCGGACTTCGCTATCATTATCATCATTATTTCAGACAAAAGCCGTCCAATATGTACTTATTTGAAATGTGTGTAAACGTAAGAAAATATTTCATGCAGTTGTTATCTCTAGTATAGTTTGTCCGCTGCGCGGGTTCATTCCTTTAGCCCACAATCCAACTAACAGAGCTCATGGCAGTTTTCTTTTAATGTAATAATGTTATTTTGTAACAAACTAAGCTAAAAATAAGTCT